CCCCGTCTTCTCTTGCATTGGCCTTTCACTGGGGCTGGCTCCGTGTTGGCCTCCCTGCTGACTGCCCCCCCTGCCTGACAGCTACTCATTGGGAACTTTGGCCTCAGCTTTGAGGAAGCCCAGTCTCAGATGGCCCTGTGGACGGTGCTGGCGGCACCCCTGTTCATGTCCACGGACCTGCGGACCATCTCACCCAGGGACATGGACATCCTGCAGAATCCGCTCATGATCAAAATCCACCAGGACCCCTTAGGCATCCAGGGGCGCAGGATTCTCAAGGTATTAGGGAGTGGGGGAGGGGAGGGCTGAGGAACTGGGCCCTGCTGGCTCAAGGTGGCAATCCTGGGGTCATGGAGGATGGACCTCTGAAACCCGCCAGCCACCTCCAGGGCCGCCCTTCTTATCCCATGTGGTGGGGACTCTGCCCAGGGCTGCTCCAGCGGCCTCCTCGTGCCTGAGTGAGCGCTGGGCCAGAGCAGGGCAGCTTCGGGGACTCGAGGAAGGGAGGTGACCACCACATGTGTGCCCATAGGGACCTGAGCCCCTCAGTGTGGAAGCCCCGGCTTCTGTGTGAGCCTGTGACGTCACACCGAACTAGGCTTTCCTCCAAGGGGTTGTTTTAGCCAAAAATAGTACATCTGGGGCCACTACTGCTGCGGGTGGTGCTCCTGCCCCAACTCGTGTTGCCTGTTTGCCGAGCAGCTGCTTTTCCAGCAAGCTGGCTACATTCCCTGATGAGAAAACAGAGATGTACTGAGTTGAGTTGCGGTAACTCCAAGGTCGCACAGCTGGCGGGTGTACGCAGTGTCACCGCAGTGTCCCCGCCAAGCCTGGGCTCTTAGCGTGAAGCCCTGCCTGTCCAGGCCACAGGACCTGAGGAGGAGCGGGGTGGAGCTGGGCCTGGGAACGTTGGCGGCGGCGCTCACCTCCTGGCCAGCCCCACCCTGACCCTCCCCAGCCCCCCCAGGCAGAGTGCACCGCCCAGCCTCCCCCTCAGCACCCACAGCCATCTCAGGGCCAGCGGTCACAGGGTTCGGTTCCCGTTACGTCACTGGTTCTGCGTTTGTCCCTCCTGTGAGCTCTGTGAGACAGCACTCCGTGTGCCATCTGCCTCCATCCTGGCCTGGGGCCTGGCAGGAGCGGGTGCTGCCGGGTGTCTGCTGCGCCGGGGAAGCAGGAAGGCAGGTTTAGGTGGGCTGGGCTGGAGGGCCGTGGTGTCTTCGCTAAGTCTCTCTGAGACGGAGCGTGGGCTGGGGGCACTCAGAGCTCCACTGGGGAAGAGACTTGGGGACCCGCCTGAGCAGGGCCCCCATCAGTAGCCATGTTCCACATGCAGGAAAAATCCCACATTGAGGTGTACATGAGACCACTGTCCAGCGGGGCCAGCGCACTGGTCTTCTTCAGCCGCAGGACGGACATGCCTTACCGCTACCAGTCCTCCCTCGCCAGGCTGAACTTCACCAGCTCCCTCGTGTACGAGGTAAGGCCTCTGCGCCCCCCGCCCACCTCTGAGGCCTTCACTTTCCCTGGATGGCGTTGGGGGCTGAGGCCACTCCTTGCTCTCACGTGGCCCCTGCTGAGCTGGGGGCCGGGTGCCCCTCTGGAGGCTGGCTGTGGGAGGGCTGTAGCTGACGTTTCCCACCTGCCCGAGCAGACCTGCCCTGCGTACACAGTCCCGTTGGCCTCGGAGGCCACGTTCGTCCCTCAGTGGACGGCTGTTGCTGGCCCTTTCTCACCGTGGAGGAGTGACCGGAAATGGGGCTCCCACCTCTGGAGGGCATCGTGGGAGACCCAGCACAGAGAGGCCACCATGCAGGCTTCTGCGTCCTCCGAGGGGTCTCCACACAGCCAGTCTCTCAGCGGCGCTGGTGATGTCCCTCCCCTCTACAGGCCCAGAACGTCTACACGGGTGACATCATCAGTGGCCTTCGTGATGAAACCAACTTTACGGTGGTCGTCAACCCCTCAGGGGTGGTGATGTGGTACCTGTATCCCACCAAGGACCTTGAGACGCCCTGGCAGTGAGAGGCTGGCTGTGCGACAGGCTATGACCCTGGAGTCTCACCACGGCGAGTTGGCTCCCTGTTGCCGCCACCCCTGCACTACGCCCTGACCTTATACTCCAGGGGCAGTCTCAGAGCCAGGTTCCACACCCTGCCCAGACGTGAACACAGTGGGAACTTGTCCTGGGGCAGGTTTCCGTGGCTTGCCGGCCTCTGCCTTGTCTGGATGGCCCCACAGACTCGCTGCACAGCTCAGCCAGCCTCTGAGCCCCCACAGGCGGACGCTGGTGCCCAGCCTCTGACTCTCTTTGTCACTGTGGAGTCAGGACTTGCAGGGTTCCTGGTGGACGTCTGACCTCTACTGGGGGCCTCCCTGAACCATGTGATTGGCTTTCCTACATGGAGGCCTTGCAGACTGGGTACTATGTGGCTGGGAGGGTCAGAAAGAGACCTCAGCGCCCCAGGGCCACCAATAAAGCTGTTGGTTTTTGTTTTTTACTGTGATTTGGGTGAAAATTTACAGAGCAAATTCACTTTCCATACAGCAGTTCACATACACTTTGTCTCATGACATTGACCACAA